GCTGAGCTATCTCCCCAGCCCATTTTTTAAAAAAATGTATTTGGTACAGGGTCTACAGGGTGTTCAAGGTCTCACTACATAGATTGGACTCTTAGAGATCCTCCTGTTTTCAGCCTCCCAAGCCCTGGGATTACAGGTGTGTGCTACCACGCCAAGTCTTAGTCGCTGTCTCAGCGTGCCCCAGGGGTGTGGCCAGCATGGCACACTGGGGATGGAACTCCAGCCACTGTGCTCTGCCTAAGCAGGCGTTTTAGTCCGCTGAGCTATCTGGCTGACCCTTCCTAGCCATCCTTTCAAGGGTGTAATACTAGAATAAAGACAAAAAGGCAAAGACTTTGTAACCTCTTGTGGTGGGTAGCTCACTGGTGGTCAACTTCTTACACCCAGCTGAATTAATCTAGCATGGTGCTTGGTCCAGGACACCCATGGGAGGGTTGTTGCCAGAAGCATAAAGGCAGAACAGGAGAAGCTGCAAAAGCGCTGTTACAGATGCTATTTGGAGAAGCTGTTGGAAGCTGCTAATTCGATTCTCCTGGGCTGTTCTGCTGGAGGACCCTGTCATGCTGGCTTTCCTGATGCACTTCGGAGAAGCATGAGTCCTCATTTTGAGCATCGCTTCCTGGCTTCAGAGAGGAAGATGGTGCACTGCTCAGTCTCATGAAGCTTGTTGCAGTGGCTTTCCCAATGGGAACTCAGCTTTCCTCATCACTGGAGGAGCTCGGGACCTCACTGTTGCTGAGGATGCCTGTGGTACTTTTGGGGGAGTTCTGATGCTTACCTTAAGTGTTGCTTCTTAGCTTCAGTTCAGATTCCTCTGCTTGCTAGCACAGATCCTTCATCCCACTGGCATAGACTTCCCAGCTTCTGCCACTGGCCTTTGGACCTTCCCAGCACATACCCATGAAGCGGGCCTGCGTAAGACTGTGTTGTGGGCTCTAGGTCTTCAGTTGGACTGGTGGGAGGCACTATCATAAGCTCTGAGCCCTCAATTGAATTCATTAGTATTTAGTGTGTGGATAGATTTGCGGCACTTGTAGTATATGATTCTTCGGTGATTCATTATAAAATACTACAATAAAACATGTCCTGTGCTATATCGTTCTCTTGCAAAAACCCTAAGCCACGACACCTCTCACGCATCCTCTCTCAGGCTAGTTGGAGGTTGTCCCTTTTCAAATGGGGTGAGTGAGGAGAGAAAAGCATGGGATCCAGAAACAGTAGAAAGGGAGTGTTCTAGGAGGCTAGTGAAGGGTAACTCAGGCTGACAGTCAGGCTGTAATCCACGAGCAGGCAGCCTAGGGTGTAGGGCTCACGTGTTGGGGGCTCCAGGAAAAGAAGAAACTAAATTGTGCCCTGACTCCTCTAAGTGTAAGAGGAGACCTACCTACATTTCTGCATGGGAATCCAAAATCCAAAAATGAATTAATACACACACACACACACACACACACACACACACAACTTAAAAAAAAAAAAAGGCCAGCTAAATAGCTCAGTGGATTAAAGCATCTGCAAGCAGGCTCAGGGGCCAGGGGTTCAATCCCTGGGCCTGCCATGTTGGCCTGCCCCCAAGGCTCTGAGACAGCAATTGAGACTGGGTGTGGTGGCGTGTGCCTGTAATCCCAGTTCTTAGGAGCCTGTAAACAGATGGATCACTACGAGTCTGATCTAGTAGTGAGACCCTGAACACCCTGTAGACCCTTCCCTAAAATAGAAAAAAAAATTAAAAACAAAAAAGGACAATTATTCCATGGAAAATACAACATTCAGTAAGAAATAGAATATAATCTAGGACATTGTTATGATTTGTGTCTAGATGTCCCCCCAAAGCCTTATGAGGGCGTTTTTTTTGGAGGTTGGCTGAATCTACAGTGTATGTCTGATTTGTAGTGTAATGCTGGGATAAAGGTAGGTGATTGGTGGATGAGCCCACTGATTGGGTTGGTACCACCCTAATCCCAGAAGTCTGGATAAAAGGGCAGAAAGAAGCCTGTCTCTTCTCGTTGCTTTTGATGGCTTCCACTGCCATGAACTGTTATCCCTCTGCCATGTGGCACCCTACCTTGGAGCCAGCAGATTATGGACATGAAATCTCCAAAAACTGTGAGCTGAATAAACTTTTTCCTCTTTAACTCTGGGTGTTGGACATTTTGTCTCAACAACAAGAGAAAAAGTAAGACAGACATCTCGTTTTCTGCTGAGACCTATGGTAATGAAGCTGAAGCACATCCAGGCAGCTAGGCCACACATCACACTGGTCCAGTGCTGGGTCAGATGATTTCTTCTCCCCTTAAAGCAGAGACAGCAAATCCTTTAGAGCTCTCAATCATAACAAACAGCCTGCTGTGGCACGTGTGGCCGTAGGTCTGCCACCACTGCCATAGAGGTTGTCACTTTGTGCACCCAATGTAGAAAAATCAATATATAGGACCAAAAGCATGCTTGTGGTTTTGAGAAACATAGATTCTAAATGCTTGAAAAACAGCTAAGAGAGCTGAATCTTGGGTCAAATAGGTAGGCTACTGTTATTTCTTATTTGTTATTGCTCCCCCCCCCCGCAAAGTCTCACTTTTAAAACAATATGCAGATAAGTATGAAAAGAGAAAACAAAAAACTCAGCATAGGCATAATTAAATGCAGACTGTAGTATCGATGCTTTTAAGTTCAGTTTAATCACTGGTACAATCTGTTATGTATTTGCCACTCAACATGACCATGCACCATCAGACAGCTTAACAGTAGGAGTCCCTCCGAAAATGTGAAAATTATTTGAAATCTGCATTTTAAGTTGAAAAGTAGGAAATTTTAGAAAATGTTGTAAATAGTATTGGAATGTTTACGATAATTTGCAATACACTATAGTTGTTCATTTATTCAGTATGCCTTGGCAGTTTTGGTTTGGTTTTTGGCTTCTGGTTATGGTGATACTCTAGGCAAAATCACACCCTCCCCAAGATGTCCATTCTCTAACAACAGGGGCAAGCGAATGTTAGTTTACATGGCAGAAGATACTTTGCAGATGTGTTAGATCTTACAGATTTTGAGGTCATCATCCTGGGTTATCAGGTGGACCCACCCACATCACAAGAGTCCTTATGTAGAACTTTTCTGGCAGTGGACAATCAGCTGATTTAATACAAAGATTTGCCCTGCTGCTGCTGGCCTTGAGGGTGGAGAGAGTGCTATGGAAAGTAGGCAGTCTGATCACAATGCTGAATAAATGTCTTTTAAAAAAAATAAAAATAAAAAAATAAATGGTCAAAAAAAGAAAGTAGGCAGCCTCTAGAAGCTGAGACTGATCCTCAGTTGACAGCCAGTAAGAAATCGGGGGCATCAGCCCTAGCATTGCAGGGAAGTGAATAAATCTGCCAGTAGCCCAAATGAGTGGAAAGGAGATTCTCCCCAAAAGCCCTCTGAAAGAAAGCCTGCCAACCCCTTGATTTTATTCTCATATAAGACTTCTGACCTATTACGACAAATTAGAAGAAATTCATATTTTAAGCCACCAAATTTATGTTAAAGTTCAGTGGCAATATACTAGAATGGCAATATACTAGAACTAGTATAGCAGAGAGCCTTCCTGTTTTGACACATGAAATGCTTAATAAACCTGATGAATTACATTTATATATACAATTTAAAATGTTTAAGATTATTAAATAGCCCAGGACTAAGAAGCCAGGGCAGGGGATTTGAAGGGTGTGTGTGTGTGTGTGTGTGTGTGTGTGTGTGTGTGTGTGTGTGTGTAAACTCCACCAGAATATAGAAATGTCTATGATTGAAAGAGTAGTTGAGTGGGATATAGGTAGACAGGAATGTACATCCTCAGGACCCCAGAAGGAGCTGTTCCATGATGGAGGTGTGGAGGATACCTGCCCTCTGACCCCTCCCAGTCAGGGAACATGGAAGACAAATAGCCCCTTGGAGAGGCTATGAGGGAGGGTATAGGTCCTGTTCTCAGAGTGAGTAGAAGGCCAGAGGGCATGCTCCAGGCTGGTTCTGCATGGGACCAGAGGCTTTGGTGACCATGGCCTCAATTCCAGACCCTCCACCTTATTTCTCCAGCTGGGTCTGGGCCTCTGGTGCCCAGTGCTGTATCTGACATAAGCAGGGCTCTGTTACAGTTTGAGGTCCAGGTTCCTGGCCTGATTGTGGTACCAACCATGGGTGGCTGTTCTCCCTGCCACATGGAACCATTGCCCTGGCAGAGGTTTGTTTGGGGTTAACCTCCACCTTCGACCCTCACCCCTCCCCAGGCTCCCTTGGCCCCTGATGGGCTCCACCACCATGCCAGGACCCCACACTGCTGGAGAAGGTTGGGGGTCCTCACTAGCAGGCTGGTGTTCATTAGCTCTCAGGCACACCGGTGAGGACAGCTCCAGTAGTGCTGAACTCTTCCCTCCATGGCTCATTCTGAGCCAGCAGCACCTGGGCTGGGCCTCCAGGGTTGGGCAGGTCAGGACTGAGTCCCTCGGTACTTGAGGAAGGTAGTTTCCAAGAAGGCAGCCAGCTTTGTGCGGTCATCCTACAAGAGAGAAGCATGATGGGATGAAGCAGTGTGACATATCCTGAGCCCCACCCCATGCCCCTTGGGCCATGCCCCCACCTACCTCATGCAGGAAGCCATAGTGCACAAGTTCAGCTGCGAGGTCTTGGGCACTGTCAGCTGTAGCAAGACAAAGAGAAAATTGTGAGGCTGCTGTATGCTTGGTGCCTGGTGCCCGGGCCCAGCTCACCACCCACAGCCCCCCTCTGCTTACTTGGTAGCAGGTCATAGGTCAGTTGCCGGTGTAGTCGGTCCTCCAGTACTAGAAGCAGCGTGAGCTAGGGGGTGGGAGGGGGTGGTCGGGCACAGCCACAGTTGGCCCACCCTGCCTGCCCACCCCAGCCCAGGACCCTGCTCACATGCCAGCGTGCCTTGTCTTCACCCCTTTCCAGGTTGCACTGCATCTGGACTACCTGGGGGAGGGGAGGCCTGGTTACCCCCAAGGACAGGAACTCAGCAAAGGTGCCCAGAAAGGACAGCAGAGATTAGAAATTAGAAAAATCTCCCAGGCCTAGCCCAGAAAACACATCTTATTCCTAGCTGCCCAGTAGGTTAAGGAAAACTTTCATGTGTAGGCATTGGAGCCGGGTACTGAAGGATGAATAGGAGATATCACATGGGAAAACAATGCCTTGAAAAGGAAGTATGGGAAGCAGGGGGGAGATGTTAACAGGGATGATAGTGCAAAAGAGCAGGATGCCAGCAGGACCAGTCCTCAGGAGAGTTGGGGCTTGGGTTGAGGATTCCTCTGAGCTTTCTAAGCAGCCAAGAACCAGGTAGCTTTAGGTGTTATGATGTAAACTCAGGCTGTTCTTTGGAAGAAAAGAAGCCAGGACAAGTAGGGCCAGGCTGGGGGCTGGTACAATATTCAGATGAGTAGTGGAGGTGGCTCAGATCAAGGTGGTGGATGCGGCCACACCCTAGGCCAAGCCAGAATCTTGGGAACTCAGTGGGTATGGGCATGAACAGTACAGGGAGAGACAAGCTAATGAGGCAGCCTTGCAGGAAGAGAGATTTGGGGAAATGTGGTTCCTGGGAGGCCTTTGGGAAATCCTAGAACACAAGTGTCAGAGAATCAGCCAACCAAGTAGATGGCACCAGAATGCTAGGGCAGATGAGATATCTGAGAAAATCTGTTTGGAATACAAAGGGATTTGGTCAGGCAGCAGGATTAGGGAAGGGTCTACAGAAGCAAAGAACCTCTAGGAAAAAGGGGAATTGTAGCATTGTCCTAAAGCCCTCCAGTCCCCCAAAAGCCCCAGCCTAGACCTGGTCTCTGGCAGTCTAGAGGAGAGCTGGCCCAGAGGGAATGCAGGCCAGGAGAGAAGGGCATCTGTTATATGGACAGGCCTGAGAGGCAGCACAGTGCAGCAGGGGTGGGACTTGCCTTTCTGGTCTCCGAGTCAAAGGGTTCTGGTGTTGGGGTCTTGGCCTTCTGGACCTCTTCAGGGGGTGGGGCCAACACACGGGGAAGCCCCAGGGGCCGAGCAGCAGCAAAATTCATCAATGGGTAGATCCCATTTCTGTGGACACATGGGGTCGGAGTGGCTGGAAGCCCGGGCCTGACAGTACTGCTTCCCATCTCGTGCCAGCCAGCTCTCACCTGACATCTTCCAGGAATTTGTCCAGCTCCAAGAAGGAAACCTCCGAGTACCTGGTAGGGGGTGGGTATACATGAGGGATGGCCAGCAAGGGGATGGCCAGGGAACTGAGGAGAGGCTTCAGGGTGGCTACTGCTCACCGCCACTGCATCATGGGCTGGTGGAGCCGGGGAATCTCTGCCAAGATAGCGTGCAAGTCCATTGCCTTGGTCTTTTCCTCCACTACATTCTCAGGCATGAGGTCTGCGGGCCACAGGAGCACTCAGTGGGGTTTCCAGCCACAGGTTCTGTAGGGCCCCTTCCACATCCCAACCTCAAGGCCCCTGACCCATCCAGGCCTGCCTGCCCCTCACACTGGTGCTGGATGAAGCAGTGGGCTGCCAGCAGCTTCAGTGAGTGCACCTCGAAGAGCACGCGATGGAAGAGGAGGTTGTGGGCAGAAGGCCGGTGGGCAGGGTCCCGGGCCAGGCAGGAAAGGATGAACTCCTAGGTATATGGAAAGGAGAGGCAGTGATGGACAGAGGCTCCCTGCTAAGTCTAAAGAGAGGAGGCCCCCTGAAATCCCTAGACCCCAGGTATACCCCCTCCCCGGGTTGCTGCGCTGATGCACATAGGGAAAGGCAACCCGTTAGTAGCCAGGCCAGGACCTGACCTTAAGAACCTGAGGGTGGTCAGGCGTGAGCTCAGAACACCCAAGGTCTACTTCCCTTGATCTTCAGGGAAATGTGGGGAGTGGATGCTATTATGCCCAATACACAGACAAAAGCCCTCCAAACCAGAGCCTGCCCCCAACTTGGAGGTGACCTCGATGAGCCCCCATCTGTCCCACCCTGCCTTCTGTACTTCTCATGCTCACTAAGCCCCAGACTCCTCTCCCTCATCCCCAGTGGTTGAACTGTTAGTGCTGGTCTCTGACCAGAAAGGCTGTGGCTACAGCTTCTGTCCTATACCTCCTTTGTCCACTGCGTGTTCACCATGCCCCGCACAAGCCTGGGATCTTAGAGGTATGAGGGTTAAGCAGACTTGAGTACAAATGCTGGTTCCACCACTTACTCTAAAGCCTTGGGAAAGTCCTTAGTCTCTCTGAGTCTTATTTTCTTTATAAAATTGGCATAGTAATAGTAACCATATAGAGAATGTCTCCATTCTATTCCAAAGAGGTCTTCTGTGCCTGTGGGCCTTAGTACAGAGGCTGGACACCCCTCAGGTGCACCGATCTAGCTCATACTACCTACAGCACCTCACACTGCTACTTCAGGTACCCTTAGCCATTCTTAGAAGAATGGGGCAAGCTTCTCACCCGCATGTTGGGGTCACTCAGTGAGTGCCTGGCTTGAGCAATGGCTTCTTCTGTGACTCGGGTGTCTCCATTAGCCTGAATCTCCAGCACAGCCATCTGGAGTCAGGGCCAGGTGGGATCCCAGAAGAGATAGCACAGGTGAGAAGGGTTGGAGCCCCACCTGGAGGGGGATAGGAGGTGGGGCCAGTACCTCCAGCGCACACATCCCAAAGGAGAAGATGTCCACTGCCGTACCATCTGCGACCTCTGAAAGGGGGAAAGCAAGGCAGGGCAGGTAGGACAGATGCAATGGCAGGTCAGTCACCAGGGGCCCTCCTGGACTCACCGCCATACTCTGGTGGGAAGAAGTGCAGGTTCCGCAGCTCCTGGCGCTCGGTACGGATGGGGCTCCGGAGATCATCTGGGAGCGCTACAGAAGAGCATAGTGCTAAGCAGCAGGCCTCTCCACAGAGGCCCCCACCCGCATCCCACCCACAGGCTCCACGCACCATTGGAGAAGATTCGGTACCACACTGGGCCGGCCACCAAAGAAAGAAAGGAAGAAAGAGTAGGTGTCAGGCCCTGGGCTTCCAACAGGCCCCCTGCCCACCCTACCCCACCCAGCCCCTTCCAGCAGCACCAGAGCCAATCTTGATGAGGCCATTGTGCTGAATGAAGATGGTGTCACTGGTCAAATTCCCGTGGATGATGGGGGGGCTGCAGGCATGAAGAAAGCTGCAGGAGAGTGGGGGAAGGCATGAGATCAGAGACCATGGGAGTGGTGGATGCTACTGGGCAAGTACTTGTGCAGCTTGACTCTCACCTGAGTGCAGACAGGATCTGTGTGCACCAGCGCTTCCAGGCCTGGCAGTGAAGCAGACACAGGACTCCCATTGGGTGGGCATGGGAGAAGCTGGGCCCACTACTGGCCCAAGGCCACCCTGCACTAACCCCCATACTGTCCTGAGCCGCAGCCCACACCCCATCCAGGCCCCAGTGTCTCCCCGTACCCGAGTGCTCATGGCCTTGTGGTTCTTCTTGGTCTTTTTCAGAAATTGCTTGAGGCTGCCCGATGATACATACTCTGTGATGAAGATGACCTGCAGGATGGTGGGGCTCTGCCTGTAGGTGGGTGTCCCCCTCTCCCCACTAGGCTCCCACCTTTTCTTACCCCCCCACCCACCCTCAGCTCACCCTTGCTTGGGTCTCGGAGGGGTCCAACCAGTACTTGTGCAGCTTGACGATGTTGGGGTGGTCCACTAGTGCAAGCTGCTCAAACATAGTTTGGATCTTCTCCTAGGGAGTGTGTGTGTGTGTGAGGGATGGTCACAGGGCAGTCACAGAACTGGACAGGTCAGGAGGAGGCAAGCCTTACCTCATGGGCTGCGAAGGCCTTCCTGTCGCCAAAGTGTAGCTCATTCCACACTACTTCTACCCCTTCCTCCGTGTCCATGGCCAGAAAGGTGCTCTGGATCCCAGGCATATTCCCTTGGTTCACCTGGGCAGGGAGGAATTTGCGCCTTGCTAAGTGTAGGGTCCAGGGTGACAACTCGGTCCCACGCACACCCTTTCCTGCCTGCTAGGAGGGACAGCAGGGGACCTGCAGGGGCTGGCCCCTGGGTGCCGAAGGACAGTATCCAGAAGGACTAGAGCAGGGCCGCAGAGGACTGGCACGGATCCCAGGGCATGGGGAGGTGGTTTTGGAAGGACATTTGTCCTCGGGGAGTGGAGGTCTAAGGACCAGCTAGAACGCGACCACTTAAGAGGCCTCAGGTTGCCCCGACACCACGGACACCACGGCTGCTCCGGACTCCACCCCTCCGCCACCCACCTGCTCCCGCCGCTTCTGCCAGCGGCCGCACGGGCTCTCTTCCAGGATGTCGCTTTCGTCCTCACTCTCGTCCTCCCGCTCCCGCTCTCGGCTCCGCCTCGGCGCTGGCTCCGGGGCCGCCATGGTTCGGCGGGCCCAGGCTGCCGTCTGCCGTGCGCTCGGCTGCTCCGCGGCCACCCAGCCCAGAGCCCAGCCAAGAAGGCGCCGCCTCAAGCCCCCACCCGGCTCCTAGAACTGGGAGGCGGCGGGCGCGCAGCAGGCGGACCGCGGGCCGGGGGGTGGAGCTGGCCCACCCCTCTAGAACTGCCTCTGCGGGCCGGGATCCGGTTGGAGCTCTAGCCGTGGACGGGCCCCGCTCCGCCCCGCCCAGCCCAAAGTGAGGTTCTGTTCGTTCAGAGCGGGCCGGCTTTCAGCGGGCCGGCTTTCAGAGGACGCCCCGCCCGCTCTAGGCGGCGGCTCTGTTCTCCCGGTTAGGGGCCCCGCGGGACAGAGCCAGGAGTTCCCTGGCTCCTCCTAACGGCGACTCCTTTGGACCCTTCAGCTAGCCTGGGCGGTGTCGGTCCGGGCCTCTCCAGGCGCGAAGCGGCCTCCTCCTGGTTCTGCATCCTTACCCTATTCCTGTCACACACAACCTGCAGCCCTGGGTTTGCTCTAGCTTGGTCCCCTGAGAGTTTGGAGGGGACCTGGGGCCAGGCAATCTGGGGGCTTACCTAGGTGATGGCCTGCTGGCTTCAGCTGCAGAAACCCTCATGGGCTCAGAAGTGGGGCCAGCTCTTCCCGCCAGTCCCCTAAAGAACATGGAGAGTGCCAGTGAAGGCCACCCGTAAATACACCAGCGGGCTGTGAAGAGATAGACTTTAATTCATAACCACAAATCCCTTACTGACTCAAAAATTCTGTGCTTCCTTTCGTGCACATGACCACCTTCCAGAAAAGCAACTTTTTCTCTTTTCTCCCCAGTTGTGCTCCTGTCCTACTGTGGGTCCCCCTTGCAGCAGCAAACATCAGGAGGCCCACCCTGACCACACCCTATTGGAGTCACTTGAAAAACCTTTTCACCCTGCAACCCTACTATCTTCCCACAACATCTCCTTTTTACACCTGCCCCATCCATTGCTGCAGATCAGGCACCTCAGATGTCTGATCCTGCTGCACCTCAGGCTTAACCCAAGGGGACTCCCTCTGCTGACTATATGGTTCTTCAGCTTTTACCTAGCACCAGGGGACCCTGCTCCAAACCCTCTGGTCTGCCCTGGTCACCCACTAATCTTAAAAAGATTAGCCCTGTAAGTTGAAGCATTCACATTCTGCATCAGATACTGGCTCTGGAGCATGGCCTGGGAGACACCCTTTGAGACACTGGAACATCCTTCGTGGCTTGAGCATGTTTACCTGGGACCTGAGGCCACACCAGGCAGTTTGTGCTCACAGTGTGATTGACGCTGGGAGCTGGAGCCATGCAATGTCATTCTGATCTCTGGAGGGGCTAGACAGCAAGGTTAGCCACTCATAGCAGCTATTGCCTATGTGACAGAACCCAGTAAAACCCTGGAAAGGACCAAGGCTGGTGGCACTTTTATACACTGTCACATGCAATTGCTGGAAGATATGCACATTGTTCAGTGTCTGAGAGGACCATTGGACAGAATCCACACCTGGCCTCAACTGGTATTTCATGAATTTCCCAGAGAAATGTAAAAGAAATATCTGCTTCTACATGGAAAAAGGCTCTGACAATCCCAAAAATGATTTGGTCAAGTACAGCCTGGCATGTAACTGAGCTTATCAGGAGTCACAGAGCAGTGGACATCCTGTGGGCTGCAGTAAGGAACCACCCAATCACTAGTACTTCTTTATTAAATTACTGATTCTATAGGGCATGAATTGGAGCAACAAAAGCAGGATCAAAACAGAAGGAACCTTGAGAAATTTTGTGTCTGCCACTGCCATTCCATCTTTATCGGGAACTCTGCCAGTCTAAGCATGCGCATTCCAGCCGTGGTGGTGATGATCTTGGGCTGCGGACTAGTGCACAGTCTCAGCCCCTGGTGAGGACTCACAGAAAGCACCCCAAGATGGAAGTTGCCCTGTGCCTAGAATGGCAGGACAATTTTCTTTACACCCTGGCTCTGGCCCACCAGCCCTTTGCTGCTGTGGTTCTCCTCTAGCAATTGCACTTGTGGCTTTCACAGCATGAGTCCTCCCAATAAATCACTGGACCTGGATCCTGGGTCCGTTTTCACTCAGCATGAGGACCCAGTCCTAACTGCAAAAGCTCTAAAGTTAGCTCTGCCTCTGATCTCACTTCTGTCCTGTCCAATCAAATCCACCATTGGCACCCTGGCCCAAGTCTGTCCCAGTAAGGCCTTTGTCCTGGCTGTGCCCACTTTGTGGTATACTCTTCCCAGGTATCCTACAAAGCCATTTCTTGCAGGTCTTGATTCAAAAGTCGCTTGCAGCTGACTGCCCTGTCACCTATTCTAGCATCACAGCTAGGACTACACTTGACTTTTACCACCAGATCATGTCTGTTTTCTCCCCTCTGCTTTGCTCAACATCCCTACCGGTACTGAGCCCCATGAGGGCAGAATGTCTGCTCTTCCTGGCTGACATCCAGCGATTGTGTTGAGTGGCAGAATTGAGCAGGGTGTGGGGCAAGATGGCATGGCTGAAGGAAGCCCCAGAGGTAATATCTAAACCAAATCTCTATGAATTTCCTTCTCTGCCCTATAACCAGATACAAACACTTCACAGTGAGTTGAGCAGAGGTCCTCAAAAGATATATCTGTCCTAATTCCTGTTTCCTGGGAAAGGGTTTATGTGGAACCCTTTTCGGGAAAGGGTTTATGCAATGTAAATCCATTTAGAATGCTGATCTTAGATCCTTTTGGATTCAAGGAGGCCCTGCACCCTACACTTGACTTCTTCATGAGGGAAACAGGGTAGCTTGAGGCATAGAGAAATCAGGGAGGCAGACATGCTAGGAGGAACAGAAACTGGAGAACTGCTCGGGTTTTGAGAGCCATTACTGGTTCCAAGGTGGACCTGGAGTGAATTCTTCCCTAGAGCCTCTAGAAGGAAACATCCCTGTCCATACTTTGGTAGTAGACATCTGGCCTCAAGAACTATATAAGACAAAATTTGTGTTGTTGTTAACTATTTCACCTATGGTAGTTTGTTATGATAGTCCTAGTTTATAAAGTTTGGATTGTGCCCTCCACAATAAAGAACGTATGGTGAGAGCACAGTACTGTGCTTCTGAGCCATTTAATACCATGATCCTGTTACTTCCAGCTCTCAGAGACAGCAGCTGAGGCACATCCTTGGTGACCTTCCTTGGCTGGTACTATAGCCCCATCCCCTGCCGCCCCTGCCTGCATGCCTGTCCGTCCCACATTCAGTCAGGCCCTTTATTACATATCACCTGTTCTCTAGGGATACCCCTTCTCTGGGAGTCTCTGGCTTTCTGAACAACCTGTAATTTTACTGTGGCACTTAATGCTATCTACGGGCTCTTTTTTTTTTTTTTTTTTGCGGTACTGGGGATTGAACTCAGGACCTTGCACTTGCCAGGCAAGCACTTATTCTACTGAGCTATCTCACCAGCACTTATCTGCAGGTTTAATGCTCACTACTTTCCCCACTTCATTATGGGAATCTGCCAAATACCCTGGTTGTGCCCTTGGGGTCTTTCTGAGCCCTGTAGTGTTTTGGGAGACCTGCTTTCTGAATTCCTGCCTATTTCTTTCCCACTGACAGTAAGAAGATCTCCCGGCTGTCAGGGTTAGGATTGATATCCAAATTCCAGGAGGCTCTGGGTGAGAGAAAGACAAATGGCTAGAGGAGTACAGGGAGGTCCTTCCTGCTGTCCACCCTGATGACTTTGTCTCTTAGTTTCACTCCTGTTTTGTAGGCCTCTCGCTGGAGTGCAGACTGGACTTGGAGACATACTTCCAAGATTGTATTACTGCTGGTGCAAGGGGAACCCCCTCTGAGATGGGTGACAGGGCTGTAGCTTCTGTCTTCACCCTAAGGAACCCAGTGTTGTGTTGCGAGCTGTCCTGGGAAAGCCTCATAGCAAGAAACTGCTGGTTCTGGATCATAGCTGATTATTACCTGGTGCTCTTGTGAGTTCCAAAGTGGATATGAGTGAGCATGTGTATATGTACTTCAAGTACTGATTGAAAATAAGTGAACAGTTATTTCAAGAGAGATTTCAGAAGGCTAGCAATAAAGTCAACCAAGAACTATGAGATAGAAGCTCAGAGACAGCAATGTCCACATAGAAGATAACTGATACCTATGACAAGCATCCTCAACATAAAAGGCTGTCAGTGATAGAATCTTACCGTGTTCATGAAACCTCATTAAAAAACTATTTGAACATTACATTGTTAGCTATCTCAAAATCTTATTGAAAATATCAAATTTCAGTTTGTCAGTAGGAGACAAAAGGACCTGCCAAATAGCTCAGCGGATTAAAGTGCCTGCAAGCAGGCACAGGGGCCAGGAATTTGATCCCAGAGCCTGCCTAGCTGGCCCTGCCCCCAGGGCACCGTGAGACAGCAATTGAGACTGGGCATGGTGGTGCACATGTCTGTAATCCTGGCACCTGGGAGGCTGTAAACAGGAGAATCACTACAAGTCCGACCTAGTAGTAAGACCCTGAATACCCTGTAGACCTTTCCCTACAATACAGAAAAGAAAAATAGAAGACAACAAATATGTAGTTGCTTGCTGGATAGACCTTTTTTTTTGGAACTAGGGTTTGAACTCAGGCCCTTGTGCTTGCCAGGCAAGCACTTATTCTACTGAGCCATCTCCTTGACCATGAACAGACCTTTTAATGGACAAATGTTGTATGTGTTAGATCCCAAATGGAATGACTGGCAATGCACCATTGCAAAGTGTGAAACATTAAAAACTTTCAGACTTTTTTTTTTCAAATTGTACTGAGGATGGAGCTCAAGGCCTTCACACTGAGACATATTACCAGCTGTTTGTTTGTTTGTTTGCATTTTTAGAGAAGGGTCTACAGGGTGTTCAGGGTCTCACTACTAGATTGGACTTGTAGTGATCCACCTGTTTACAGCCTCCCAAGAGCTGGGATTACAGGTGTATACCACCATGCCCGGTCTCAATTGCCATCTCAGTGGATCAAACCCCTGGCCCCTGCACCTGCTTGCAGGCACTTTAATCCACTGAGCTATTTGGCTGGCCCTTACCAGCTGTTCTTATTGTCTTTAATTTTAAGACAGAATCTTGCTAACTTGCCAAGGTTGGGCTTGCATTGGTGATCCTCCTGCCTCAGCCTCCCTAAGTGTTAGGATTACAGGCATGCACCCCC